GAAATCGCGCGTGCGATTTCCGTTACCCTTTCGCTGCCTCGCGATCGAATTTGTTGGCCCGAATTATTCCGTCGCTTAATCACATTTAAATTATTTTATCCGCCCGCAGCGCGGGCTCATCTCGCTGCTTAGCGATCAGTAATAATAAACGTATCGATATTAATGTTATCAATAATAATATATGTAATATTAGAAGGAGAGCAATTGGCAATAGCGTTGAGTGCTAAAATCGCGAGAAAAAATTCAATGTTTTACTATTTATTCAGAGACAACTTTCGATAACTTTTCATTACGAACAATGGTTCTTCTTTGCAGCTCTAACACTAAGGATACGATTCGTTTGACACTTTATACGCTTCGAAACACTTTTATATATGGGATTCAATAACACCATTATGTAGCTGGAATGCTTTAAAGTGTCTAATGCGTCTTGTTTGAGAGCATTGAAGTGAAAAGAAGGAAATTCCAATGTTTTTATCTTTTATCCGTCAAGTAAAGATTTAAAGTTTAGTCGCCCAACTCAACACATAAATTAAAAATTAAAATCGCGAAAGAATGAAGCGTTTTTCATTTTATTAGTTATTAAAAAGGCGACTTTTCGATCCCTTAATTTTACGTGTTGTAAATTACAAAGTTATCCCTAAGCGTATTTTTTTCTATATTTATTTATTTATTGACGATCGTAGTGCGAGTGTAACACTTTTGGAAAGACAGGAATGATATTGAGAGAAGACAAAAGAGCAGCGCACGAAATATTTCATAATTACGATGTTTCTTGTCATTTATCAAGAAATCCAAGTCTGAGACCTCTCGTAATTCGATAGAGAGAAATCGTTCTCGGACAAGCTAGTTCGATTAAAAAGTTCAAGACGCCGAGTTTACAGCTTTTATTACTTCGGACTTGGTAACCACCTCGGCTTTTAACGGACAGCCTATTTCTTTCTTTCTGTCTCTCTTTTTCATTCGTGCATGAGCTCTTGTTTCGGCAAGCGACTCGCGTTCGCGAAGTTACCCTCTCGTTCTCGTTACAAGAGCAAAGTTGGAAGATGCTTCAGGAGTTTCTTCTTTTTATGAACGCTCCGGTAACGCGCTGGGTCGAGCGCGAGAGGAGAGGAGAAGAAAGTGCCGGCGAGGCGCGGTAATCTGGCCGTGACTAAATTCGATATTACAAGCGAGTAACTGAAGATTGGAAACTTTTGAGAAATTCATGGAAATTGAATGACCAAGGCAGTTCGCGATAAGAGCCGCCGTCTTATCTGCGTAGTCCTCGTGGATTCCATCCACGTAGATTTATCATATCGAATGAACGAGGATCCGCGAAAAGATATCGAATAGTCTCGAACAGACCTTAAGGCCAAATCACACTAGCGATTGGCGATTGACAATTAAAGATTAGATTTTAACGAATCAACAAGCTTCAGCCTTGGCTTGCTTTGTTCCAATTGGTCAAGTTCCAATCTTCAATCGTCAATCTTCTATCGCCAGTCGTTAGTGTGACTTGGCCTTCAGACTGAACTCGCAGACGATTTTTCTTCTCTCACATCCGTCTCCTCTCTCTTTCAAAGTGAATGATTGAGCCAGCAATCCGAGTCGAAATTGTTGAACCTATGTTGAACCTTGAATTCTACATCGCAGCAGGAGCTAAGATAGCAAAGTAGGTTTAATTCTAATGATATAATTTACTCCTACTTTGACCCTGATGTCTGAAATTTTCGCTTTCGTTTTCTTTAGTGTCAAAGTAGTTGTCATAATAGTAAGATTTTAGGAAGCAAAGTAGGTTCAGTTGCGAGTCTCTATTAAAGCTTTAGCTCCTAGATAGAATATATGTATTTTAAAGAAATATTTAAAAAATTTAATAAATAACGGAACAGAAACATCAAATAGCATACAAAATATACATTTTATCTGTTGCATATATTTCTTTGCTATCTTAGCTCCTATTGCGGTGTAGAATTTCAAGGTTCAACGTAGGATCAAAATTTCGACTCGGAAATGAGTGTCAAAATAGGTTTCACCTAGATTGTAGATTACCTAAGTAGGCTCAAACTATTTTGAAGAGCGTCAAAATTTTGACAAGGTAGAGTTAAAGGTTCAAAAGAGAAGTTAATGAGTATTAATATCATCAAAGTAGGCTATAAACCTACCTAGGCTATAAACGCTTTACCTAGGCTATAAACCGTGAAAATAACCCTGCAAATGCAGAGAAAACGCAGAAAGTTGAAGTTGGATGTGTGCGCGATTACGAACTGCGTTTTGCGTGTTGCGGCCTATGTAGACAGGCCTTTATGATTGTAACGCGAATTACCTTGTGATGGAAATATTCCGTTTGTTCTTAACAATTGTGTGCGAGCGGATTATAGATTCCACAAACGTAACGCAAATATACGTTTGGTGCATTACGTTCGCTAAGGCATCGGTGGATATTAATTGAAGGTATTAATATCTCTATAACTCGGCAGCGCAAGCGCGCATTTCCGAGCTGACGCATAACAGGATATGTCGGCGTGCTGCCGAAGTTTAATTGCGTTTGCCCCGCCGCGTAATGAGGGAAACTACTTATTTATATTCGAAATATGCTAATTGCTAATTTAAAGTCCGGAAGCTCTAATATCCCCGCGTTTTATTCGTAATTGCATCCGCGGAGTTATTACGAGTGCGGGCTCCTCTCGCTTTCAGTGAGTTATCAACGGCCGAAACTATGCAGCGATAGCGTCTCTCCTCTCTCTTTCTGTCACTCTCTCTTCCTTGTATTATCGATAAAGAAGAGATCGGGTCATTTATTGTGAAATTGCTCGCAGATAGGTTTCCGCGATTCGCGCAGAGTAATGCCGTTCTTCAAATAAGAAAATGTATATTTTCTTCTTTGAAAAAATATTTTATATTAATATAAATATACATGTCATTATATAGTATCCAATGCGAATATACAGGGTGTTCCCAAAAAAACTATTCAGCATTTATATGGTACATAGTAGACACCATACTGAGTAAAAAAATCTTAGTGAATATAATCGTTTCGTTAGCATCATGAATAACTTACTGACTTTGCAGAAGGTATTTCATTCCATTCCATGTTCTTCTTCCATTTCCCTACACCCTTGGCATCTTCTTTTTACAGAGTCGCGAATTTCTTGATTAGAGTAATACGCTGTCATTTTTAGACTTTATAACTGAATAATCACCAAATAAGGCCCGCGATTCCTGGTTGATGACACTTGACTGATTGCCAGTGAAATCTTCTGTTATGAAGTATGTACGGAAATTGAATGAGGATATACAGAACACGGTTTATAAACATTGAGGTAAACATCGCATACGACACGTATGAACCTAAGTCATTTATGATGCTAGCATACAAAAATGTTTATATCTTAGAAACTTTGAGCTTTCGACCTATAACTATAAGGTTTTTTTACTCAGTATGGTGTGTACTATCTACTATGTGCTGAATGGTTTTTTGGAAACCTGTATATATTTGATTTTTTAGATATTTTTTTCAGTACAGGGAATAATGGAATTGTTCCAATTGAAAACTTTTGCGAACAGTACCATAATAACTACTATCTATACACGCACAGAATTTTATAGTAAAAGTTATTGTAGAATTTTGTAACTGAGGAATAGATCGATATGTTGTCGTAATTGATTATTTCATCACACAGCTGTTCATTATATTTTAGGAACTGAAATGTACTATTAAAAAGTTTACTATATTTCTGTCAAAATTTATTAGACTGAGCGAAAAAATATCTAAAAATTAATAAATATTCATATTTGATGAAGACTATAACATATTTATTTATACTAATATGAAATATTAGTCCCAAATTATATTATATTAAATATTATTCGCAAAGAAAACGTTTTCTTAAAAAATTCTAAATTTTTAACATTATAGCGATTATTTATCCTGTTTGAGTAAAAGAATTTAGATTTAAGTAAATATGTTAATAAATATCTATTGTTTTTATTTATATACATGTTATATAATGGCTTCATTGAGTAAATTATACCAGGTATGTGTTACACGTAACATTGTGTTTATTGGAATGTTATCCAGGGTTAAATCGTGTCACTGATGTTTATTCAACTTTGACCTTCTCGCGCGCACGCGCGCACGCGAGTGCGATGCACCAGCGCGCATACGGTTATCATCGAGCCACCTGGCCGTTATCCAAGTTTATTTCGAGCCGCATTTTCGACCCGTTAAACTGTTGATTTAACGTCTCTCTCCCCTGTGTGCGGAACGATTATGTCGCGCCGCCATCCGGGATCTTCCGTCGCGGGAGATCGGAACGGAGCGGCACGGCATGGGATCGAATTCACAAAGGCCGGCCGTGCTCGACTGAACTCTGACCTACTATCCCGCGCGGGGCGGCCCACATTTTTTTCCTAGCCGTTCGGAAACAGCTCTCGAAAATTTCGGTCGACATCGTGGCCGAATTTCCGCGAGACGGAGCAAAGAAAAAGTAGTCAAATTTACAATTCTATACAAAGGCTGCGCGAAGTATGCAACTTCAAAAATATGTCTTTGGCCAGTAAGAGCCGAGGCTTAGATGTCGGAGCATATTGCCTGAAATTTATTGTGGAATGTGTAATGTAATTAATTCATTATATCCGCACGGAAAAAAAGGTTTGGTTGAATTAACCAAATATCTAGTCGAATATGAACGATCCAGATATTTCGATTGAAATAACCCGAATTCTGTTTAAGTCAACCGAAAATCTTGTTAATTTAAACAGAATTCGGGTTATTTCAATCGAAATTTCTGGATTGTTTATATTCGACCAGATATTTGGTTAATTAAACCAAACCTTTTTTTCCGTGCGTGAATTTATCGTATTACGATTTCGCACATGGATTTTAATACAGTGACTTAACGTTAGACCGAAATATTTCATTTTCGATTGTTTCACTTGAAATCTCGTCAAGAGCAATATATTCTGCAACGTTGCATTTATCCTTCGCAACTTCAATTGCTTTGTGGTTCGTGTTTCAGGAGCAAAGTGGCGGCCGCTCTTCTCAACAAGCACCTGCAGATCAACGGGATCTCCGCTGGTCTGACCTCTCTGCCGACCGTGGAGCAATCGTCACCCGATCCGCAACCAGAAGAGCCGCCGATGACCAGCAGCAGCAAGATGAAAAGGGAACGAAAGGCCGCCAGGACACTCGGTATCATCATGTCGGCGTTCCTCGCTTGCTGGCTTCCCTTCTTTCTCTGGTGAGTGCGCCTGTATTAAACATCGAGTTATACATCGATGGAAATTTCGCTGAAACCGATTCATCGCGTTCAATCGATCGATTTCTCTGATCGGGAAAGAGTCGAGGCGATAGGCACAAAGAGTCACGATACAAAATGTTCATCAATTGCGGAAAATAGAATTGCCTGATTCAGTAAATCGATAGCCTGTGTCGAGCAAACTTATCTTTTAAAAGGGGCGACGCGCGCGAACACATAACTCAGCGAACTTGTTGATCGTGCGGCGAAGAAATTCAGTTTGGAAGCAATAGTCAACCCGCTAATGGGACAAACTTCTATTGCCAGAGCAACTAATTGTCTCCTCTAGAACGGAATTCGTTAACGAACCAAATTTCCGGCAGCGGAAGGTTTAGTTATCTTAACAAATATCTTCCATTGACAATCCACAGTTTCCAGTGGCAGAATTTTGTTTTCATTATACACAACAAATATGCTTTAATATCGAATTTCATTATGCATTGAAAGAAAAATCTTTGGTATTTGTGACTATAATTATTTGTGTCTATATATGAACACACATGTGTATATAAAATATATAATAAAACAATTGTAGTGAGGAAAATTAATTTTTTAGTACGTTTTGTGTTTGTGTATTCAGAAAAAAATACTTGAAAATTTATTTGTGGGATATACAGTTTACTTCTTTGAAATAAAATTTATTTCTGCGAGTAAACTTTATATTCCACAAGTTCCAAGTATTTCTTCCTAAGAGTGTTGGTGATAATAATTTTATACAAATCATTTTATACAAATCATAATTTTATACAAATCAATATTTTCTTTTTTTGTTACAATTACAAAGAAATATAATTGACCTCGAAAATGTCTACAATTTTACAACAACTTTTACTTTCAGTGCATAGTCACGTATTGTACATAGCGCTTTGAGACTTAGGCCCGCATTAATTTCATTGAGGCAAAAGTACCAATGTCTGGACACGTGCTTAACTGGACATTCTTACTGTTTTATGTTTTAGTTTCTAAACGCGAATATTTAAAATTTCCACACAGAGAGAGTATGCATACATGTATTGAATATATATATATATATATATATATTTTTTTTTATGTATTCTATGTTTCTTGAGAGTTTAAATATTTATATTTAAATAACAAAACAATAAAAATGTGCAGGATTACGTATGTGTCTAGGCATTACTACTTCTGAAACATTTCTCGAGCAGGATATCCAGATTCGAATTCAGCGTTAGAAACGCTGAATTTTGCAGTTGAAGCGCAATTTACACGCATCTCAGAGATTTACTTGGATTTACCCAGATTTACTCAGAATTGCTCAAATCTAAATTCAGACTCGAATATTTCGTGCGATTACCCGCGTATTTCACGTGAGACAGGTTTCACGTAACGACTATAATACGGGCTTTAATTACTGTAACGCGGAAAACTGACTATATCCGCTTACGTCTGTAATTTTGCTGAATTAGCGAGGCAATATATTCTAGTTCTGTAATAACAAATCTTTTCTGCTTCCCACGCGGGACACATGTTGCGCAACGCGTCTCGGCGTTCATTTAACTTCACCCCTTTGACAACCGCGATTACCGCGGCCCTGATGTCACCAACTCGCGTTAGTCGCGGCGTACAGTCGCGGCGATAAGACGAATGACTCGCTCGCGGTTTCATTACACGGCTGAAACGCATGTACGCGGGATTAATCGCTAGCGTGATATAGTGAGCGCATTATCGTTAGCTCGATCATTATAATCTCGCGCTTTTCGTTACAAGCGTCGCGACGTCCACCGGGACGCGTGTCATCTTCTCTCTCTTTCTCATTTTCTTTTTTTTTTCTTTTTATCATCTCTTTTCAAGTTTTTTTTTTCACGGCAAATCCCCGCGCCACCTCTCGAGTTGCAGCGAGTGTAACGAGCGAAAAAAAAGTAGCGCACGTTTCGCAAGTATCTCTTAAGGGTACGACTTATTTTCCTCTGCTACGAGGACGCTATCAGAAGAATCCCGGTTAATTAATTGGCCGAGGCATTTGCGCGCGCGTAAAACGTAAAATAGAATCGCGTTTCGCGATGCGTGCGACAACGGCGACGGCCGATTTCGTATCTCCATTTCGCTCCATTTTCCCGGCGCGTGCTTTTCACCCGAATATCGACGATGAAGGCGCGAACGAGATAGAGACGGCAGAAAAAGGGAGGCAAAGAGGAGAGAAAATATCGCTGCGTTCGCTAATTGCTGCATACAGGTTTCTCTTTCTCCCTCTCTCTCTCTCTCATCGATGCAGTTTCCAATTTTTTCCCCGAAAGTGAAAAAAGCGCTTGATGCAAATTTAAACGAAAAAAAAAAAAACAAGAAAGGAGTGACATTAGATACCGAAAAAATTGACGTGTAGCATACTTTTGGCGAGAGATTTTTGGACATTGCGATTTTTGAATCAGAAAACGCGATCGAGACATTTCGAACTGTTCAAGTGGAAAATCAGAATTTGCGAGGGATCGGAGTCGTCATTTCCGATTATGAATCAAGTGCGGAACTAGTAACTGGAAGAATTACATAATACCATGACGACAGTTGCCGGCGCGCAACAATTGCGGCATAATTTTTCCAATATGTCAGATCGAATCACGGGAGAAAATTATTCGCTGCTACAACTGAGAATCTCGTTAGCTTAGCACATTTGTAGTCGTGATATACTAGGAGAATCAGTCCTCTCTCTCACTCTCTCTGTATTACAAAGTCTTGATAATTAATTAACTTGTGTTATTAAATCCTACAGCTATGCGGAATTAATAATTGTGCATAATAAACTTTGATGTTGTAGCAGATTGTTAGTACAGCAAAAACTGTTTCGCAAATTTCAAAGGGCAAAATTTTTCAGATCAAAAGGATAATAATACCTGGGGATTTATCAAACAATAGAAAATTGCTAAACAAATATATGTTTGAATTTTATGTATGTAATTGCATCTAAATAAAAAAAAAAAAATACATTTCAAACAGTTGAATATACTGGCTTATTTTAAAGAAGAAATTGAAACTTATCGTCAAAATTTGTTTTTGTTTCATTGTATTTTATAATAAAAAAAGAGTGAAAACGAAAATAAAATTTCTGGCTCGCGAGAATGTGAGAAGAAACGTTTTCCATTTTCCTGATTGGACTATTGTACAAACGTAAATCATGTCGACCACGGAGGTAGCGCAAAAGCTGCAGGCTCGGGGATGATAATGGATGCTGTGTTACTTCCGCACAATTTCCGTGCACGTCATTTTCGTACAAAAATAAAAATAATTTTTTTTATTACGAGTGCATGAACATAGTACTTGATCGTATATAAGAAATTCAAATATATTTATTTAATAGTTTTCTTTAAATAATTTCCTGAACACACTGTTGCTCTTTTCCGTGTAAAGAAGTAATTTGATTGATCTTGCATTAGCTCGAGAAGGCGAAATGATTTGCTACTACAACCGAGATAATATAAACAATAACATAACAATATTATATCACACAATAATGAAACACATAATAATAATATAAATATTATAATAATACATGAAATAAAAATTAATTTCTTCTACGAGCCGGTTGACAATCGCTTCTGTACATAACTTCTTTGCTGCTTGAGTAAATCTACTCACTTTTTTGCAACCTAAAACTTTATAAATTTACCGAATCGGCCATCTTGCTCCGTGCAACCAGTTGAAGTAACAATAAACATCCTATAAAGCACGCGTTTATTCTTTCTTCTTTTTTCTTCATGAACTCTCGCGAAGTTTTGACTCACTCGAGTAAGAGAGGGGAGGAGGGATAAGTGGAGAAGAGGCAGGAAAGGTGGCGACGCGAGATATTGAAAGCACACGTCCGCCCATTTCTTCCCTATCTTCGAGAGATCTAGATACACATATCTATTTCGGCAACAAACCTCCGCCCACCCACTCACCCTTACACTTATCCCGCATAATCTCCGAATTATCCGAGACTATCGCGACACGCGCGAGTATAGGGTAAACTCGGATAAAATCATACTTTTTTAAAATGCAAAAAAAAATACATTCCTTATTGTTATTTCTTAATAGCGTTTGGCACATTACTTCACTGCAGCCTACAGTACACAATACCATCAGAGTTAAGAGGAAAATACTTCAGTGAAATTATTTATTACAAAAATATCAAAACATGAGCATTGGCCATCTTACCTAAATGTTTAAGACAAGATGGCCATAAGGAATAAATGACCCATACATATTTCATGCTCAAGATTCTATACCTAGTACATTATAAAATAATGAAAAAAACATAATTTGACATATTTATTTTAGTATAGAATATTTAATATATATTATTTGAAAAATATAATACACATATAAAATAGAAACCTCTATTATAAAACTTAAATTCTAATTCCAATTTTTGATCAAAACATATTGCACATAAGATTTAATTACTGTAACATTGAAAGTAAATTTTGAAATATAACGACTTTCGTTTTATAAATGTTAGAATGATAGTGGGCCATCTTACCCAAAATGTGAGTGAAAGACGGTTATATTAGTACTTATAAACAAATAGTGAAAACAAAAATAAAAATGCATGTTATATTATAATTTACATTTATGTTATATTATATTATTATTATAATTTGTTATATTATACATACCTACTTTATGTATCTAATATTGATTGTGATAGCTTAACTGTAATTTATTCGACGTTACAGCAAGTTTTAGTGGACACATGAGAAATTTTACACACGGAAAAAAAAGATTTGGTTGAATTAACCAAATATCTCGTTGAATATGAACGATCCAGAAATTCCGATTGAAGTAACCCGAATTCTGTTTAAATTAACAAGATTTTTGGTAGACTAACTAAATATGTCTGGTTAAATAACCAGACAGGTCTGGTTAAATAACTAGATATGTTAGTCTACCAAAAATCTTGTTAACTTAAACAGAATTCGGGTTATTTCAATCGGAATTTCTGGATCGTTCAT